TCTCTTCTGTTGCTCCCTGTGGGAGCCCAGGGGACTGCTGGCACCTTACATGAGTCCCGCCTGCTCCAGCAGCCTGGTGAGCTCCCTGGGGAGGGTTAGTGATCCCAGCTGAGCCGTGCCCGGAGCGGGGCTGGCGTCCAGCAGAGCTTTTGGGGAAGAGCTGTGGGACCTCTCGAGTCATCGGCAGAACCGGGGAAGGACCAAGGCCAATCTCCCGATCTGCCTCTGACCTGTTATTACCCCCTCAAAGTGTGGGTCCGTCCACAGTCTGCATACGAAGGGGGATGATTTGCCCGTCTTGTTGTCATGCAGGACACTCCATGTAGCTGCCGCCTCCCGGCTGCCTTTACCCCCTCCCCTCTCCGCCCCGCCCTTCAGCTCAGCCCGTCCTCACAGCATCCTGGTTTCACAGAGGAGAGGAGGGTCCCTCCCAGGCCACGGAGCTGCTAAGAGCTGTGGCTTCTATCGTGATAGCGAGGCCAGCAACTCCACTGAAGTCACTCGGGCCCCAGCGAGGAAGCTTGCTTTTTCACCCCGGTTTACAGCGTTGGCTGAGGATTGGAATTACCTGGGGAGCTGTGTTAACATTCCAAAGCCAGGCTGCCTCCCAGGCTAATGAAACCAGAATGCCTGGGTGCGCTCTGGCACGGGTATTTTTCAAACTGCTGGTGCCCATGTGTAGCCAGGGTTGAAATCCCTGGTGTAACCAGCGCAGCTTTTAAGGAAGACGAGAAGGCTCAGTCTGAGACTGGGGATGGGACTGATTAGCAGCCATGGCTAACGGCCAGCAGGTGGCCATGCTGTGTGGCTCCAGGGGCCACACTCAGTTACTCGGTTGAATGTACAGGCGTGAAGCCCTGCCCCACCTTGCGTATGTGGCTGCCCTGTAGCCAGCACTTTGAGTTCATCACCTCATTCACTTTGCAACGACCTCACGAAGACTGCTGATCGAGAGCAGCTTCCGAAACTACTGGGCTCTGCTGTTTCCGTGGAGAGAACCCTAGGCAACACGTGATGAGTGGGCTGCCAGAGCATCCGTGCACCTTAGCTTCCTCCTGTCTTTCTTTGACAGCCAGCGAAGGGTATTCACTAGTCCAGAGGTCGGCAAACTCATTCGTCAACAGAGCCAATTATCAACAGTACGACGATTGGAATTTCTTTTGAGAGCCAATAACTGACTTCTGCACATGGGCCACGAAGTTTCTGTCGCACTGTACGTGCGCGCCCGCACGTGGTGTTTTGTGGAAGAGCCACACTCAAAGGGCCAAAGAGCTGCATGGGGCTCACGAGCCGCAGTTTGCCGACCACTGCACTAGCCCCTTAACTCTCTCTGACGCTGCCCCTTCCTCCCCTCCAGCACTTCCCTGAGATGTCCATCTGTCCTCTTTCCAGAGACCACCTGCTCACCTCACCTCACCTCACCTCTTTGTTTACCTCGGTGTACTTGTTTACCATTATGGTCAGTTCCCTGAGAGACTGGCCAGAGCAGTCCTGAGGGTGGCCCCGGGGGACCCAGATGTTTTGAGTCACCAGCACTTCATTGAGCAGCCCTCTGTTCCGGCATCTCTGTAATCTTTTCCACACGGAGGCCCAGCCGCCCTCTAAGCCCTGGCCCTGCCCCCACACGTGTTGTCTGCGGGAGTTCAGCGCCCTCACTGGTGTTCGCAGCCTGCAGCTGTGGGCTGGAGCGCCAGCCTCATCCTTCAGGATCCCTGTCCCAGCCACCCACCGCCCAGGCCTCCGAGAAACACCAGCCCTGCAGCTCCCCGCTGACTTCATTAAAGAAAGAAAGAAGTCTGGAGCAGATCTTTGAGCCAGAGCTGCTCACAGATTGGACCTGGGATGCAGGACTAGCTACCTAGTTTGCAGGGCTCAGTGCAAAATGAAAATGCAGGGAACCCTCTTCTCCGCTGAGGGGTGGGGTGGGGTGGGGCCCGCCCGGGCAGCAAACCCATTGGCCAGCTGGTGGTCTGTGGGGTGAAGGTTCTCAGCCTGACCAATCAGATGTTTTCCTCTGGAATTGAACTGGAGAGAGAGAGGCCACCGCGGGCAGTGAAAGGAAACGAAGTTGGATAAAAATATTCTTCCAACCTGCTGACACTTTTCCCACACACAGCAGCGAGAATGGCCTTTTCTAAAGCGAATCAGAGGCCATCTCTCCCGGACTTGAACCCACCCGTCCACCGCTCTCCTGGCCGGCGGCTCTCTCACCCCACTCCAGGGACACTATGCCTTTTTGTTCCCTGAACAGACCAGGCTTGTTCTAGGTACGGGAGCCACACATGCTGCCTCCTCTGCCCCACTCAGCCTCCTCGGGTCTTAAAGGTCGCTGCTCAGGGAGGCCCTCCCCTGCACCTGGCTGACGGGGGGTCCGGCTGTGGGTCTCAGCCCCCGGGTCCCAGCAGGCTCCTGGCGAGTCGGAATCCTTTCTCTCTGTTGGCCGGTGTGCTTGTTTACTGTCAGCCTGTGAGAGCAGGAACCTTGTTTGCTTAGTTCACCTCTGTGTGTCCCGTGTCTACCACAGTTCCTGGGAAATTATAGGAACCCAAACAGATGGCAGAGTGAATGTTTATATCGTGCACGTTCCTGTGAGGTAGGAGCTCTTGGTTTTGTGTGGTTACGTTGTAGGTGACCACGTTTTTGAACTCTCTCGTTAGTCCCTTCTGTTCATGTATCTGTATTCATAGATAGTGATAGCTTATATAAATAGTAATTCTGCCTTCTCCTAAAGTGACACGACTTATTTCTGCGCCCTGCCTTATTGCTTTGGCTGCATACAGTTCGTTGTTTTGAAGATGGCATGACTGATTACAGTTACAAAGCACTGTGAGGTTTGAAGCTCAGGGAGGCTAAGGGAGCTGCCAGGTAAAGTGTGGTGTGACAGCGGCCTGCATGGACTAGAGCTGAGAATTACTCAATAAACAATTGATGGGCCTTGGTAACAGGAATAGGTATCGTGGGGGAGGGAGGGGGGAGGGACTTCCCAAACTCCAATCTGAATCAGAGTTTTCTAAGGCATTGGCTCCCAGACAACTTCATCCCATCGGCTAAGGAAATATTCACATTTCTAAACAGGGAGGGAATTGCTATAGCCAACTGTTTATTTTGTCAGGTGTAATAAAATAACAAAACACATGCTGAAACCGGTTTGGCTCAGTGGGTAGAGCATCGGCCTGCGGACTGAAAGATCCCAGGTTCGATTCCAGCCAAGGGCATGTACCTTGGTTGCAAGCACATCCCCAGTGGAGGGGTGTGCAGGAGGCAGCTGATTGATTATTCTCTCTCATCGATGTTTCTAACTCTCTATCCCTCTCTCTTCCTCTCTGTAAAAAATCTATAAATATATTTTTTTAAATAACAAAACACAGCTTAATGAAAAAGAGAAGAGAGGAAATTAATTAGAATTCTTGTTTCAGAAACAGTTCTGAGGATGTGAGTTCAAGAGAAAAAAAAAATTAGCAAGTATGTCTCTGTGCTCTGACACTCAATCTGACTCCCTCCAGAATACCTTGTAATAATTAACACTCTTCCCAGTGGACACGGCACTCTCACAGGTGTGGTCTCCCTTCATCCTCCCAAAGGCACCCTACAGTGGGCCGTCATAAAATGCCAGGCACGTTTCCGGTGGGACCCCATTTGCAAAGCACCCACAGTCTTCCCTTTGATGCCTGTACCCCAGTGGCATGTCACCTTGCAATTTACAACCCATCAGACCTCTGCTGTGCCCAGGAGCTATCACCCCCTTGCAGGGTTTTGCACAGACCCGCCACCCCCGTCCAGTTTTCTTGGAGAACTCCTTCCATCTGCTCCGTGAGGGGAGGATAGAGAGTGTCTATTCAAAGCTATCACAGTGGCCCTCCAGAGAGAGGACTGACGTGGTGTGTGGAGTGGGGACACAGCCCCTCAGTGGTCACATGGAAACCCCATGCCTGAAGGCGCTGGTTCCTCAAGACCAACCTCTGTGAGCCTTGGTGTCCTCACCTGTTTCTATTAACCTCAGAGTTTCTATGATCTATTTCCAACAAACATTAATTGGCTACTGTGTACAAGACCAGACACTGCCAGGGCCTGGCAGTAGTAGAAGCTCAACCTCGGAAAAGCAGGGCTTAGGAAGAGGGCAGAGCCAATGCCCAATGTCCATTCTCATTACTATAAGCCCCTGATGGGCCAGGCAGTGTCACCCTCCCGGGACTTTTCCTTAAGAAACGCCCCCTCCCCTTCTCTCTCTCTCCTCTCTCTCTCTCTCTCTCTCTCTCTCTCTCTCTCTCTCTCTCTCTCTCTCTCTCTCTCTCCATTTGCTTTTGAGCACTTCTGGGACATGTAGCCAACTTGTAGAGGAGGGAGCCCTTCTGCCTGAACTTCAAGTCAGCTAGCTAACCTCAGGCTGCTCTGGTGGCCGTGAGGCCATCGCGAAGCCAGACGTCTGCTCCCGTACGACAGCCCGCCCTTTGTAACTGGCGGCAGAGCAGTCTCGGATGCCACACTCTGCTCCCTGCTCCGGAGAAAGGGAAAAGCTGGTCACTTCCACAGACACATTCGGAATTAAGGATAGGGAATTTGGACAATAAGGGGTGATAGTTTCTGTTCATAATGGCACTCATCCAAATTGTCTTTAGCAAGTACGTATTGCTCTTTTTACATAGTTTCCTTTTCTTTTTCTGGGCTTATTGAGAAACAGAAACTCAGGCGCAATCCCTTTCGCAGGAGGGAAAGTGTTTTTCTCAAAGTCGGGCTAAAACCATTTTACGCGTCAGTCGCTGGCGGCCTCTATGCCCCACTCTACAGACATCCTCTCCAGCCCTCTCCACAGCCCTGTGCACGGGCTCAGTTCTTGGCAGCTCGCAGGTGAGCACACTAGGGCTCAGAAAGGCAGCTGGTCTGCCCAGAGCCACCCAGGAGCAGGTGGCCCAGGGGACCGACACCCTTGCCCTCCCGCTGTGCCCACGGGGGTAGGTGCATGTGTGACCTGCTCTGACCCACTCCCCCGCCCGTCCCTACAGCCTCCATGTACTCCGAGATCCAGAGGGAGCGGGCAGACATCGGCGGCCTGATGGCCCGGCCCGAGTACAGAGAGTGGAACCCGGAGCTCATCAAGCCCAAGAAGCTGCTGAACCCCGTGAAGGCCTCGCGGAGCCACCAGGAGCTGCACCGAGAGCTGCTCATGAACCACAGGAGGTGGGGACGGCGCTCGGCTGCCTCAGCCCTCACGCACCTGCTCAGGCTGCTGGGGCTTGAAGAGGTCCCCCTGGTGGTAATTCTGGGGCTCCTGGAGCGTGAGGAGGGCTGAGGGTACCCCACATGGTGACCAACAGAGACTGGGAAGGTCCAAAAGCCCTGTTCTCCCATCCAGCTGCCCAATGTGTGCCAGACCTAATTTTATTGAGCACCTACTATGTGCCAAGCACCAAGCCAGACGCTGGGGGTTCCAGAAGGAATGTTCCTGCCCTTATAGAGGGGGTGGATGCATAGCCAGATGGTAGGATGGGTGGTTCCATGGAGTATGTTTCCAGCAGATGGGTGAGCCTGTGCAACTGGCTGGTCAACACCAATCGCTCAGTGTGGTCGGAGCATAAAGTGTGAGGGAGGTCAGAGGAGCCATGCCGTCCTGGGAAGGGTCCCAAGCAAGAGTGACACAACCCTGGAGGGGCCATGAATGGAGCAGGAGGCTGGGGTGCAGTGAGAGAGACAGCCTGGGGCAGGGCCAGAATTGAAGGAATGTGGAGGAGGGGAGGGGGAAGCTGAGCCTCTGTCGGCTCCCAGGCCTGGGAAATAGTCCCGGCTCACCAGGGCCAGAACGAGGCGTCGGCGCCTTCGCAGCTCCCTCTCCTGGCCGCTTCTAGGATTGGCGCGGGCGGGGATTTGCATTCTTGTTTTCAGCTGTGTGCCAAGGATCTTCCCGCAGATAACAGCTTGTATCCTTGGTGGTGGTTGCTTTCTTCTTTGTATATCAGAAGTATTTCTCTGGTTGCCTTTTAGAATCACCCCTTTTAATGCCAAAAACCACTACCATAGTTTTTTTAAAAAGAAAAAAACACCTAAGGACAAGTCAAGAGAGATGTTTGCAATATCAATAACAGACAAAAATTAATATATACATACCTCTTATAAATCCATAAGGAGAAAAATGAGCAAGAGACTGGACATGCAGACAGCTGGTAAACAAATCAAAGGCTGTTTGCTCTGCTAATAATCAAAGACACAAGTGAACACCAGGTGTTACTTCTTGCCTACCGGCTTCACAAACACGAAAGGATTGGGTGGGGGCCGCGGGGAGAAATAGGTGCCCTTGTACCCTGTTCACAGAGTATAAATGGGATCATCTTTCCTGAGGGGCCGGTGGACAGTCGTCCAAACTCTCTTAAAGGAGACTTGACCCAGCAGTTCCACCCTTAGAAACAGGTCCGAGAGACACCTAAAATAACATAAACCTGGTCCCGGCAGTCAGCCAGGCCTGGGTGCAAATCCTCGCTCGGCCCTTGCATCTGTGGCTTGGACGGGGTCTGGACTCGTAGGAGACACACACACACACACACATACACACACATACACACACATATACACACACATACACACATATACACACACAAATACACACACACACGCACACACACACACGTCTCTGAACAGGGGCAGTAAGGGTTCCACACGCCCCGCCGGGGACTGCTGGGAGGGCTGCAGGAGGTAATGGTAGTGCGAGATGGGGGCAGGGATTGGGGTCTCCTGACGGCTCCCCCACCCCAGGGGCCTGGGCGTGGACAGCAAGCCCGAGCTGCAGCGCGTCCTGGAGCACCGCAGGCGGAACCAGATCATCAAGAAGAAGAAGGAGGAGCTGGAGGCCAAGCGACTGCAGTGTCCCTTCGAGCAGGAGCTGCTGCGACGGCAGCAGAGGCTGAGCCAGGTGAGAGAGGTCACAGCCCCGCAGCCCCCAAGAATGCCCGTGGGCCCCAGGAAGAGCCGGGGTGTGGCCGCAGCTGCCAGTGGAGCCAAATGAGGGCTGGTCCCCCGCTGGCCTGAGTCCTCGCTCTGCCCCTCACCGCCCTGGGTGACTTCCCTGAACCTCTGTCTCCTCATCAGCCCCATCCACTGTGGGTTGGTTCTGATTTCATTCTCACGACTGCCCCTGAGCCAGGTAGCCAGGCTCCCATTTGAGAGATGAGGGCCGAAGGAGGTAAGCCAGTGATCGGCAAACCGCAGCTCGCGAGCCACAGGGGGCTCTTTGGCCCCTTGAGTGTGGCTCTTCCACCAAATACCAGGTACAGTGCAACTGAAACTCCGTGGCCCACGCGCAGAAGTCGGTTTTCGGCGTGGGCGAGTCTATTTTGAAGAAGTGGTGTTAGAACATTCAAGGGGCCAAAGAGCCGCATGTGGCTCTCGAGCCGCGGTTTGCCTACCACTGAGGTAAGCAATTTGAAGAGGCTTCACAGGGGGGAACTTGGTCTCATGGCCTGTCCCCCCAGCTACCAGGCTGGTAGCAAAACCGGCCCCTGGTTCTGTTTCCCCAGAGAGGACCCTGGGCCCAAACCCTGAGCCTGGGAATCCCCCTAGCCCCACCCGCGTCACACATCTCCTCTCTCCTCCAGCTGGAAAAACCTCCGGAGAAGGAAGAGGACCACGCCCCGGAATTCATCAAAGTCAGGGAAAACCTGCGGAGAATCGCCACGCTGTCCAGTGAGGAGAGGGTGCTGTAGGGCCGGCTGGGGGAGCCCCGGCCCCCGCAGCCCTCCCCCGGCTCCCACACCCTCCTCCAGCCCTCCTGTATCTGGCAGCCCTGAGCCCCCAGCTTTGGGACATCTGCTGTGTCCATGCTTGCTCCTGTAAACGGCATTGTCCCAGAGGCCCTGCCTGGCCCTCCTCCGCCCCCCGGAAGGAGCTGGAGTCCAGAAGCTCACAGGAGCTTCCTTCTGAGCACGCCCCCCTCCTGCTGCTAGAGGAGGCCTTTGGGGTACTCTCACCTCCCAGCAGGGGCGCTGAGCCCTTCCTGGCAGAGTGGGAAGGAGGGACGGGGCGCCCTGGCCAGGCCCCCAGGGGACCCTGAGCCTCTGGGCAGCGCCACCCGCAGAGCTTGGAGAACGGCCCTGCCTGCGGTTTTCCCTGCAGCCGGGAAAGGGGGAGAGGTTCCAGTGCGGCTGCTCCTGGGAGGAAGGGCGGGAGCCCGCAGGTGGCTCCCGTCATGGCCGGCGGGAAGGGCACTAACAAAGACAGCTTCTTAGATTTGCCAGCCTCCCCCAGCCCCTCTCCCCGGCCCCCTGGTCCCAGCCCTGTAACCACACCAGCCAGGGCTGCAGCCTCCTGCTCCCGGGAGTCTGCCACAGGGCTTCGCAGACGCCTTCCTGCCCGCGACTGGCTGGGAGCTTGCTAAACCATGGCTTCTGCGTCCGTAGCTTTGGGGTGGGGCTGAGCCTGCATTTCCATCAAGCAGCAAGGCGGGAGCGCCAGGGGTGCTAACCATTGGAAACGTCACCCCGAAGCCATCCTGCCCCCCCAGTCCCTCGGGCCTGTGCCCTGGTGTTCCCACCTTCCCCTGCAGCCCTCAGGGCTCTCTGTGGCCAGCCCACCCAGGGCCCCAGGCCCGAGGAGGCTGAAAGCCTAGCAGGTCGTGTCAGGTTTATGACCGGTTCTCACCAGACATCTCAGTCCAGAATTGCCAATTGCATTTCTACTGCACCGCTATGGTGCAATTCTAGCCAAAAAAAAAAAAAAAAATTGTGGGTTTTTTTTTGTTTTTGTTTTTGTTTTTGTTTTTATCCAAAGCCCATGGGGAGCGCATACACAGTGGTTTCCAGTAGGTTTTTGGAAATATAAACAGTGATTGCAGACCCCACTGCCACCCTCACGGTCTGGCTCCTATGAGTTCCCATTTTCAGCCACTGAACCTGAGACCCCCTCTCCCCCACGTCTGCCCAACCCCTGTCCCCCCCCCCCCAGCCCTCCCCCTCGGGGCAGCTCCAGGGACCTCACCCACTGCTTCCCCAAAGCCTCTCACGCAAGACCAGAGGGTTTCACCTTTGGACCCCATTTTTCAAGATTTAAAGAATAAACCAGGCCTGTTTCTTTCTCCCTGGAGAGCAAACCCTGCCTTTGTCAGCCACCGTTTACGGTCCCCGGGGGGTGCTGGGAGCATCTCTTCTCACCTCCCCAGAGACAGCTCCACGGCGATGCCCAGGATTCTTGGCCAGCGGTGGGACCTGCAAGAGAGAGGCCACCCCAGTCTCCCTCCTGACTGCGTACTCTGAGGGGGACCGAAATGTGGATAGTGACAGGCTGCGAGCGAGCGTGCATGGGTGTGTGTGTGTGGGGGGGGGGGGTGCGTGCGCGCGCGTGCAAAGTCCAGCTCTGAAAGGCTCTTGGAAGTGACTGTTTTTGCGAGGATACGGTTTTAAACGTTTGCCAGGTGAGGTGATGCTCAAGACCCACCCTCCCTCACAAAGACCGCTGCCCCCCCCAGAGAAGCCACCTCGGGCTCGATGTGTCATTGGGATGAGAGCATGAGAGGGGGGCTAGCCTGGAATAGGCCCCTTGGGGTTTTCCTTGGTGTTGCCAAGGGTGCTTCCAGGAGGTGGCCAGTCACGGAGACAAAAGCCCCAGAAGCAGGAGGGACCTCAAGTCCCACTGAAGCCACGATGGACACCCCTGTCCGCTCCCCAGGGGCCAGTCCCCACTCCTCTCCGGTCAAGCCATCCAGGTTCTCCCTGGTCCAGCCGCCTCTGCAGCCTGGGTGAGCTGTGCCCAGGGATGGGCAGTGAAATGTTATTCTGCAGGAACTTCTGGAAAGCTGATGCTCTTCTGACAAGAGACAGACACTCGTACCGGCTTCTTCCTGCCTTGACTGGGGATGTGATGCCTGGAGCCACAGCAGCCCTCTCACGCAAAGAGGAAAAGGCCAAGAGCATCTCAAAGACATTGACCTTCTCATCCTTAGACCAAGCCAATGCCTGCAGCCTGCCTCCTGCAGAGCCCTTGTGAATAGAAATAAAGCGCTCTTTGTGTAAGCCGTTGCTGGCCAGTCTGTTATTTACAGACAAGCACACTCCTGGCCCAGAAAGCCAGCCCTGCTGCCCAGAACTACCTGAGGCTGTAACTGCAAATCCAGCTTCCTCTTCCCTTCAGAAACCTGTTGAGTCAGGACCCCAGCAGCAGTACATGGGACCTGCCCTTCTACACCTTCTCCCTGTGGCCCAGTGGCACCCGGTGTCCGGACACCCCGAATTCACATCACTCAGTATCTGTGGAGTGCCTGCTCTGTGACAGGAAGCAGGCCCTGAGCTGGGGGTGCAGTGGGAAATGAAACATCTGGAACACTGGGGTGGCCTCCGAACTGGTCTCCTTGTTTCTGCCCCTGCCCTTACGTACATACAGTCTGTTCTCAACAGAGAGGCCAAATGGCCCTGCGAAAACCCAGGGCAGATCTTATCCTTCCTCCTCTGGCTCCCAGGAGAGTCCTTCCTGTGACGGAGAAGGCCCCAGGTCCACTCCCTCTTCACCTGTGACCTGTTTCTCCCTGCCCCCTCCCCCTCGCTCACGCAGCTCTCCAGCCTGGATTTCCTCACACCCACCAAGCACACCTCATCTCAGTGCCTTTCTGCCTGCTATTCCCTGGCCAGGAGTGCCCTTCCCTCGGGGAGCCACACAGCCTGCTCTTGCTACACAAGGCCCTCCTTGGTCGCCCCATCCGAAACCTCACCATCCACACATACCTCTCCCCTCCTTCCCTGCTTGTCTCTCCTCCTTAGCATTTGTCACCATCTAACATACACTTCACTTGCTGATCATGTGTCTCTCCTAACAGTAATGTCAGCACCGTGAGGACAGAGACTTCTGTCTGTCTTGTCCACTGCTGATTCCCAAATGGCCTTCCCTCCATCCTCCTCCTCCTGGGCCAGCAGGTGTCTGGGTTCAGGAAAACCTGGCTACGAGGGCCCAGGGACCATACCGCTTCCAGCTCTGAGAAGAGGCTACGGGCCAAATGGGGCAGAGGGCACTCAGCAGGTGCTCCAGAAATGTTTGCTGGATCCCTGAGAAACCTGTTCTTCCTCTCCAGGGCCTCTTCCCAGGGCCAGCCCCTCCCATCCCCCTCCCCCTCTCCCCCCTCCTGCCCCTCTCCTCTCTTGCCCCTCCCCCTCCCACCCCTCCCCTCCTCTCCCTCTCCCCCCTCCTGCTCCTCCCTTCTTCTTCCCCTTTCCCCCCCGCCCCTCCCCCTCCCGCCCCACACCACCTCCCCCTGCCTCCACAGTGTGGCCATGCCCAGAGCTGTCAGCCTGGTCCCAGAACTTTCCTTTGATCCTGTGGGCTCCCATCAGGACAGCGGGCCCCCTGGCATTCGTGCCTGCAGGACCCACATGGAGCCGGACCTTGGAGAAGGAGGAGCCCCAGCACCAGGCCTGCCTGAAGGGAGGCCAAGAGCAGCAAGCCCTGTCCTCATGGAGGCCACATTCCCGCCTGCCCGCAGGGCACAAGCTGGGCCTGGGTCTGGGTTTGGGTTCAGGTCTGGGTCTGGGTGTGGGTCTGGGTTTGGGTTTGGGTTTGGGTCTGGATCTGGGTGTGGGTTTGGGTTTGGGGGGCACCCTCTTTAGGGGTGCTCCAGCACCCAATACAAAGCCCGGTGGGAGGGGGCACCAAGGGACCTCCCTCCCCCCTCCCTGCTCTGCAGAGTGTGCTCCTGGTGCTCCTGGGGCCTCGCCAAACTCTGTGTTGCACTGATTCCTGGGCTGTGAGGGCAGAGTCCCTGTCTGATGCTGCTCCCCCGAACCAGTCCCAACCCCGGGCTCCGAACACAGGAGGTGCTCAGAAAGGCTGAGAATGGTGTCAGTGAAGACCCCTGCACTCATGGGAGGCCAGCAACGCCACCGCCACAAGTCGGTATCGCCCATGGCAAATCGCCGACGAAGAAGCCAAGGCTCAGGAAACTGTAGATGACGGGACCTGAGAGCCGTCACGGAGCAATGCCTGGGGAGGGGGTCACACCGCGCCGGCTGTCCGCACAGCCTGCCTTTTCCTGTGAACACGGGGCCTGGCCCTCAGACGCTCAGAGGAGGCCCCTGTGCCACCCTGACCTTTGGCCACGAGATGTGGGAGCCTGTGGCGCCTTCCGTGTGTGATTTGTCCATCTCAACCTAAGGGATTCAACCTCCACCTGTAAAAACAGACTCAGGCCGTGAATGCTGGGGTGAGGACCGTCTGCACACTGCCATGGCCCCACCCCCAACGTCATCCCCAACCCCAAAGCTGCAGTCTCTGGGCATAGCCAGCAGGTCCCAATCTACCATTGCGTGCCACTCCTTCCTCTTGCAGGACAGGCCCTACGGCCGAGCGGTGCCTAAACGATTTGGTGTGTGTGCCCACAAAGACCCACCAACGCCTCACCTCTCCCTCCCCCCCCCACACACACACACCCCCCAGGGCTTGCCTGAGGTGCCCCTCTTCCTGGCTTCAGGAGAACAGAGCCTTGCCCTCCTGGCATGGACTGCCCACGTCTCAGCCGGTGGCAGTTATTTGAGTGGAGGGTGGCTGGCGCTCACCCAGAGAGGCCAGGGGGCGGGCCGGCCCTCTCGGTGCATGTGCCCATCTGCTTCCCAGAAAGGCCTTGCAGAGACGAGCAGAATTGCCCAGTCAGGGGCCCCTTCAACTCTCCTGGGCAACAGCCAAGCCAGTGGGGTTCTCCCCTGACCCTCTCGCAGGGGTCCTCAAACTTTTTAAAGTGGGGGCCAGATCACGGTCCCTCAGAGAGCTAGAGGGCCGGACTATATGAACTACTAATTCCTACTGTAACACCTCGGCTGCGCTCACTGCCCAAAAAACCTGGCGGGCCGGATCAGACTCCTCTGTGGGCCGCATGTGGCCCGCGGGCCGTAGTTTGAAGACGCCTGACTCTAAGGAAAGGCTTCCCATGGGACCAGGGCCCCTACCTCTCCCTTTGGGTGCCTGACCTACCTGCTCCTTCCCGCTGCAAGGCCAGGGTCAGGCTCGCCCTGGGGGAGGGCTGATTCTGGGCCCAGGCCTGGAGTCCAGCCCCAGCACGGCCAGTCAGCGTGTGTCACAAGCCGGGCAACTCTCTGGACCCCGTGTCCCGGGTCTGTGATGCAGGGAACCATCTCTGTGCTGATGGAACACGGAGTGTCTTGCCGGGGACTGGGCTGGACACAGGAACCCTCTCCTTTTCTCTCCCAGGATGTCACTGCCTCCATTTCACAGGGGAAGACCCAGCGTGCAGAGAGGACGGCCCCTGCCCAAAGGCGCATAGGCAGCCGGTGTCTCAGACTCTGCCCTCACAGACCAGAAATCAGTGCAACACATTTACCCTGGCAGCGTGGCCGGGAGGCTGTAGGAGGGTGTTGTGCAAAGCGCCCACACATATGCTTTTCCATCTGTCCCCGGCGCCTCTGCCAGTGCTCAGGCCCCGCAGCCTTCCTCCCCGGCCCTCCTGCCTCCTCCCCAGCCAGCACGCGGCCTGGCCCACACCAACCTTGCGAAGTGGACCCCAGCGACCAGGCTCCCGGCCGCACCCCCTCCAGCGTGGACAAAAGGCAGCGGCCCAATGGGGCCCGGGGTCCGCGTGTGCCCTTTGCGCAGGGTGGAGGGGC